TTTTTTGCTACACAAAACGAAGACTGAAAATTAAAAAAAAAAAAAAGTCTTCATTTCTGTTAGAAAATTTAGCAAATAAGTCATTTTTCTTCTTCACTGATGGGCACAGATGAGGCGGCATTGATCTGCACTAGTGATCAGTGCATGGATTATCAGTGTAAATGTCCCCTGTGAGCTGCCAGTTACCGGCTTTCCTTTCCTCGTGCTGTCACAGCGTCAGAGGAAAAGACTGGATAACCAGAAAGTCTGTCTACACTGTGATCAGTGGTGGCTTGACACAGCTGATCACACAGTAAAGGGCCGTTGTGATTGGCCCTTTACCTAGCTCTGTGATCAGCTGTATCCAAAAGTTAGAAATAGAAGGTCAGTGTATTAAACAACACGTAAGGGTTAACAACTATTAGACTGCTTTCACACTGATCGGTGGGTGCAACGCAGGTTAGCTGCACTGAGCCAGACGTCTATCATATCCTGCAGGTTTGGTGCACTTTCTGAAAGCACACCAACACTCCTGAATGCAGGAATTGTGGTGCACCTCACCTGCAAGAGGTTAGAAGTCTAAGGGAAAGCACAACTAATCTGCAAGAAAGCCGCGTGTGCACTGCGTGGCACCTGCAGTGCGGGTAAACTGCAGCGTATCAGTGTAAAGCAGCCTTATAGAGGGCTCAGCACATTTGTAGTTTGAGGAAGGGGGGGCTGGGTTAAAGCCCCCTAATTGAGACATGTATTTAACACCCCACCACCACAACTGGTTTAGTGTCAGCGGTCGCAATGGTGATCCCACCCCATGTTCCAGATGTACCATGCAGCCTCCCTGTCACAATATGTTTTATAGACCAGATGCGATTTCTCCTGCGCTCTAGGACCCAGGCCGGTGATGAATAGATGGAACCAAAAGCAGAAAAAGGCGGCCACCAGTGTATTAAAGGCTGTGCAGCTCCAAACAAGGCTGGGGAAGCCCGACCAATACCGCAAAGTGAAACAAAAGCGAGAAGCGCACCAACCTTGCGCATTACCGCAGTAACCAAATTTATTAATTAAAGAATGGTACTCACAAACAGCGAATAAAATCAGGCATGTAGTCCTCAAAGGGACTTCATAGATAGAGAGCCAGCGTGAATCCCATCATGGGGGTAGACACTCAGTACACTCACGCGTTTTGAAGGCCAAGCTCTGAGGAAGAAGGCATGACCTTCGAAACGCGTCAACTGTACTGAGTGTCTACCCCCATGATGGGATTTGCGCTGGCTCTCTATCTCTGAAGTCCTTTTGAGGACTACATGCCTGATTTTATTTGCGGTTTGTGAGTACCATTCTTTAATTAATAAATTTGGTTACTGAAGTAATGCTTCTCGTTTTTGTTTCACTTTACATTATGTTTTATACTTGGACAGGAGGGGCAATGGGGGTGGCATATACAGGCTACCGATCCTCTCCATTTTCTTCTTGCAAGTGCTAAACGCTGTCTATTCCTTCTCTCCCTCTCGTTGGCATTCAGTGGCTGCAGGAGGAAAATATTCATTATGCTATTCAAAATAAAAAATTCAAAATTCTGAACCATTTCATATCATGGCCAGCAACCAAATCACATAAGTGGCCCTCACTCTTCAAAGGGTTGAGCACCCCTGGACTAGGGGATTTGTAGTGTGCATAGAGCGGTACCCATTCATCTAATATCCACTGTTCATTCCAAACACATGGGAGTGAGGGGGGGAAAGGAGAGGTTCAGGAACTCACAAAGGACATTGCAAGGATGCGGAAAAACATAGTAAAAACAAATTTACTGAAAAATAGATTACAGCGCCATCAAGTAGTGGATGGGTATGGATATTTTTTTTAAGAGAATAAGGATATTGTTTAGTCTCACTTTAATCCAATTATTCCTTACAATGCTTATGAAAACTAAATATGTTGATGTGATAGCTGGTAAAGTGAGCTTGTTTTGCTAGAAAGGCCATCTTATTGCTGGCATGGATACTGAGAAGTGAACTGTATGTGGGATACAGGGAAACACAGCAACGTGTATGCTGGGAGTAGGATACCAGTGAGTCAAATGTGTTTGATTTGGGACACAGGAGAAGGACCACTAGGTACCACTGGAGGGTGGACAGCAATGTGTGTGATGGCGTTAGTATACACGTGAGAGGCCAAGATGTGTGCTGGGGGTTGGATACAGGTGAGATACCTGTGTGTGTGCTGGAGATGGGAAAAATAGGAAAGACCAATATGTGTTCTGGGGGGGGGGCTGGGAGAAAACAATGTGTGTTCTAATGGTGGAAATGGATACACTGGAAAGACCAATGGGTGTGCTGAAAGTGGGGTACAGGTTAAGGACCAATGGGTGAGTGCTAGGTAGGAACTCACTGCTACAGTATGCTCTGTTCAGTAAAAATCAGGACTGTTGACAGATATCCCAGATAGATCGTGACAGCCTGGCTTTATTAATATATATGGATGTAAATTAAAGTGTCAGTACACATAGTGGATTTTCAGCGATGTGTGTTATAGCACTCCTACTTTAAGGAAAAGGTGGTAGCGCCCTTAAAGGAGACGTATGGACCTACTTCAACTATGGGTCACTGGAGTACACCTAGTTCTGCTAAAGCATGCTGTCAGCTAACATCACAGAACCAGTCTAGGCTCTGAGAAGATCCAGACCATATGGTCGAGATCCAGCTAGGTGTCTGCAATGGCAGTTGCTCAACCTCTTAGCAAGCCACTGACAGCATGAGCCAGCCATTCTCAACCCCTCCACAGCCCAGTGCTCAAGTGAGCGCTGAAGGGGCACAGCAGAGAGCCAGTGACTGCTCACTAAAGACTGAGAAATGAGCAATCTGTGATCTTTGATCTCTCAGTTCTCAGTCTTCGATGCATGCAGTGAGGGATCGATTCTTCATCCACCTAGGCGAGTATAAATGTTTTTTTTTCATAACTCCTTATTTCTCTTTTAACTGATTAATTTTAGGAGAATCTGGTTTCTTTTTACTGAACAAAATACGTAAATTCACTGTGCCACATAAGAATCGGAATCCCACAGATAGGTAATATTATTTCACATTTGCATTAGCAACAGAAATAAGCCAGGAAAAGGAAACAAAACATATAATATAATAAACATCCTGGCAATTATACATATTCTAAAGCTCCTGATAAACAATATTTTACATTTTAATTAAAGTGAACACCATATTAAGGAACATGTCAGATTATAAGGATTAAATCCCTTCCATTTCATACAATCATAAAAATGGCATCTTTTCCAAGAGATCATTCAAGCAAAACTAAAATTAGATTTTCCCAAATAAAACTTTAACACAAATAGCAGTCATTTACTCAGTGAGCTTTTACATGTAGGTTGTAGAGTCCATAGAAGCAATGCTGACCCCCAAACAGGAGTGCAAAAACTGACTATAGGAGCTGCCATATTGGCTTTTGATGGACTGTGGGGGCTGTCAAGAAGCAGGATCCCCTTTTGGAGATCCCACATATGCACAGTGCAACCTGCCCTGTGATCTGTGTGGTCAGTGCAAGAAAACACTGGCAGCTATCCATTTACCTTACCTTTGTATAGACAGAGCACAGGAGCTGTGCTGGGTGCGGGGTAGAATTATGCTGCTACTGTCAGTTGACAGAGGTTAGAAAGGGGTTTCTTTTCAACCGTGGGAAAATGTGCATATCATGTACTGGAGTTGAATTATTAGGGAGCCCATACATTAAACATTTTTTTTTTTTCGTTCACTCAGAGGATTGAACCAAAAGAGTATCCAATTTCCCCATACACACATTCGATGTGGATGGGAAAATCACTCCCACTGTGCTATTGTGTTCTGGCAGCAGGGAGACTTCCTTGCCAAAAGAATACACTGAGTAGAGCTGCTGGCTATAGCCTGCGGCATTGATCGATCTTGAAAAAAGAGACAGGCTAGTTGTACAGAAATCAAATCGGTAGGTCGACTTCTGTAAAACCATGTGCCTATAGATCATGGGTGCTCAACCTTTTGAAGAGCAAGGGTCTCTTAAGTGATTTAAATGGGAGAGTCAAACTGCTGCGCTGCTGTGTAGTTTCTATAGAGTGTAGAAAGTGCTCCTTGTGTTCAGTGCTACAATGCACCTCCCTATTGATATATAAACCACTGAGCAGGATTTTCTAAGTTACTTAAGTGATTTAGAAAGCAGCCGCAGGGCCACAATAAAAAAAAATGGTTCAGAATTTAGAATTATTTATTTTGAATAGCATAATGAATGTTTTCCTCCAACAGCCACTGAATGCCAATGGGAGGAGAGAAGGGGAAGCCAGCTTTCATCGGTTGCAGGAGGAAAAGTGAGAGGATCTGTTCCTGTACAAGTTGCCCCCGCCACCCCTCCTGTCCAAGGATAAAACAGAACGTGACTGGGAGGCCGCACGGGCCTCCTGGAGCGGGATCTCCACTGCGACTTATGTTACACAAGTGGTTGGGGTGTGTGGTAAAAACACGTCTTAACTAGGGGGTTTTACTGCCCCCAAACCTCAAATGTAAACAAGTCCTTACTGTCCTGAGCCCCCTATAAGGCAGCTTTTACAATGATGCACTGCGGGTGCAGTGCAGTTCACCGATGGCTTTCCTGTGGGTTATCTGTTCTTTGCCATAGACCATAGAATATCTTGCAGGTGTGGCACACTTTCTGAAAGCACACCAAAACTCCTGCATTGAATTTGAAGTGGAAGGCAACATCAGAGGGCTCTGAGGGAGACATATTGAGCACCCCTGCTATACATGGATTTAAATTCGCCCAGTCCTTGCTGACCGGCTGAATTTCGATCCATGCATAGCTGGCTTTACTTTCTTGGCTTTCCAGAGTAAGTGGATACATGCTCTGTTCTTTTATTACCCCACAATATCATAACTTAGAAACTTTGATTCAGGCACACCTTTAAAAGAAGGAAAGCCTTTAGTTGACTATCACCAAAGTAAGACTTTAACAAAAATTCCAGACTGAAAAGAATAAATCAGGTAACAAACCTCCTGTCTTTCAACATCCATATTCCAGACAACAATACTACCATCCGCGCTGCAGGAGATGAGCTGTCTGGAATGGTGTGCATAGGAGATGGACTGGATTTTATCACTGTGAAAAAAAAATGATCCATTATATTAGAATATGGCAAACAAAAGCTACTGATAACAACCCAAGCAATCATTTTAATAGAATGCTGTCAAAAGACATCATATCATATATTTTGAAGAATACCTGATACACATGTAAGCACTGTTCATTTTATGTTCGGCCCCCAGCACTCCCCACTACAAGAGCCAAAAGGCTGATGTCATGAAACAATCCTCCTGGCCACATCTGAATTGGCTGATGGAGTTCCATATGTGTGCCGAATTTGCCCCGCCAATGAATCCATTTCTTCTAAACCACAATATCAAGACAAATGAAAAATGGATGCTGCATGGGTGACATGGGCAGACACAGCAGTATACATATATATTTGCCTCAATAGGACTTTGTCTAACCGGATTCTTCAGTATTTGCACAGTAGATGAAAGCGTGCCTTTGTTGTAAACATCCTCCTAGATTCCTCATGCCACCCAAAAGCTAGCCATAGACGGCTTGAATTTCAGTTGATGTCTGCTAAATTGCCTGAAATATGAGCTGCGGGTGCCGCTACAAGTGCCACATGAATTGAGAAAAGTAGATTTGAAAATTGACTGAGCTAGTTAGATTACTGGCCTAACAGTGACTGTGCTTTATGGCAGAGCTGTGTAAACTTCAGGACTGGATGCACAGATAAACAAATCATTTTGGCTTTTAAAACATATGTATTTTAACTGTTTAGTTAGCAGTTTGCCTGATGTTCAGCTTAAGCCCTCATGCACACTTGACGTTTTTACAGCTGCTGTTTTTGGCTTTTGATGGGTTTTATTGCACACAGACTAATCAACATTTTTTGGCAGGGGGGGGGGGGTTTGGCTGCAAAAAAACCCAGGACTAGTGGGTTTCTATAGGAGTTTTATTAGCTGTAAATACGCTCTAATGCTGAAAAACGCAACAAAATGCGGTAAAACACTGCAAACCGGCGTTTGACTTTTTTTTAACCAAAAAAATTTTTTTTTGGTTAAAAAACGCTAAAGAACACTGCTAAACGTGAATGCAAAAACGATAAAAGAAGCTGAAAAACGCATGTTTTTGACCTGAGTTTACACAGCTAACGTTACCAGCGTTATTAAAACGTCAAGTGTGCATGAGGGCTTAACCTGTTGGGAAGTGATTGGTTGCACCCGCATTTTGAATCCTCAGTTTGACCTCATGTAATCTGCATCTTATATACAAGCAAAGAATACGATAGGCAGTGTTAAAGCTACAAGTCTTGGTACTCTGAGTGACTGACAACATTCACGGGAGAGATTAGAAAGCATGGTGGGTGGAACACAGACGCTTACAGTCCCTGCATGTTCACACTACTGTGGTCTGCAGCACATAGCACACTATGCGCTTCACTCAGCCTTTGTGTACCCAACCACTCCAGGTAAAACCCTCTTTTAGCCCCAGGGTCATTAGGAACATGACAGGCACTCCATTTTGACACTGTGGGGTTGATTTACTAAAAGGATAGAGCAAAATCTGGTGCAACTCTGCATAGAAACCAATCGGCTTCCAGGTTTTATTATCAAAGTTTAATTAAACAAACTGAAGTTAGAAGCTGATTGGCTACCATGCACAGCTGCACTAGATTCTGAGCGCTCCAGTTTTAGTAAATCAATCCGCTTTGCGTCTAGTTAAAAACAAAAAAGCACAAACAAACAGTTCTTTAATGAAGTGTCAGAAAAGAAGTCTGAGAATCACATCTCACCAGACATTTCTCTATAGAGGGAGTGAAATGCTCCACGGCCTGTTTCCAGGCAACAGATATTATCAGGCCTCCCTAGGTGCATGAAAGATGCTCAGTGGGATTGTGTGCAAAACACTAAAATCATTGGACACAAATGACTTCTTCACAACTTAGAATAAAAACAGCAACAGTTGTCATGGACTAAATCACTGACTCGCATGTCATTTTATTATAACCAAAAACGCATGGCTTTACATGGAGGACACATTTTGTAAGAGAACTGAAGGGAGAGGTAAAGATTAACTTTGTGTTGCTTAATATACCTAGAATGTGTGTGTGAGTACACACACACACACACACACACACACACACACACACACACACACACACACACACACACACACACACACACACACACACACACACACACACACACACACACACACACACACACACACACACACACACACACTTTATTAGGTACACCTGTTCAATTGCTTGGTAACACAAATTCCTAATCAGCCAATCAGATGGTAGCAAAGCAATGCATTTTCGGCATCTAGACATGGTGAAGATGACTTACTGAAGTGCAAACCGAGCATCAGAATGGGGAAGAAAGGGGATTTAAGTGACTATGAAAGCGGCATGATTGTTGGTGCCAGACAGACTGGTTTGAGTATTTAAAAAACTGCTGATCTACTGGGATTTTCACACACAACCATCTCTAGCGTTTACAAAGAATGGTCCAAAAAAAAAAAAAAAAATCCAATGAGCGGCAGTTGTGTGGATGAAAATGCCTTGTTGATGTCAGAGGAGAATGGGCAGACTGGTTCAAGATGATAGAAAGGCAACAGTAACTCAAATAACCACTCGTTACAACCAAGGTATGCAGAATACCATCTCTGAATGCACAACCAGGGCAGACTGATTATTTGGGCACTCGGGCAGTGCCAGAGGTCAATAGAGGGCCCCATGAGAGGCTCAGTCTGTCCCCTGGATGTGCCCACAATGCTGCTAAAAAGAGAAAGTACTGGCCGACCGGGATCAGAGAGCGATGGTGGACGGGGCGGCAGGCGCTTCGGCCACCTCTCCTCTTTGGCGATTCAGGGGGCGGGTCCACATCCCTGCCATGGATGCTGAACTTGGAGAGCTGGAGGGCGGGCACAGTGCACTGAAGAGCAGAGTCGTCGCTGAGCTGGCCTGGCAGCATGTCAGTGTGTGTGTAATGCCCAGGTGACAGCACTGCAGCTTAATATGTCTATTTAGTGTAGTAGTCAGGCTGTGTTCTATCCCGCCCAGTGTCCATGCCAGGTGCTATCCTGCCCCTAATAACCCTGATTTCTATATTCCCTATAAAAAACACTGATATCTATACACTGACTGCTATTCCATACATAGATAGATAGATATATATATATATATATATATATATATATATCTATATATCTATATATCTATCTATATACATATATATGTCACATCACCGATATCTGAATAAAGTGGCACTCAGTATACAGATGTCGGTGTTATATATAGGGAATAGTACTCAGTGTACAGATGTCAGTGTTATATAGAGAGAATAGCACTCCGTGTACAGATGTCAGTGTTATATAGAGAGAATAGCACTCCGTGTACAGATGTCAGTGTTATATATAGAGAATAGCACTCCGTGTACAGATGTCAGTGTTATATATAGAGAATAGCACTCCGTGTACAGATGTCAGTGTTATATATAGAGAATAGCACTCCGTGTACAGATGTCAGTGTTATATATAGGAAATAGCACTCCGTGTACAGATGTCAGTGTTTATATATAGGGAATAGAACTCAGTGTACAGATGTCGGTGTAATATATAGGGAATAGCACTCCGTGTACAGATGTCAGTGTTCTATATAGGGAACAGCACTCAGTGTACTGATGTCAGTGTGATATATAGGGAACAGCACTCAGTGTACAGATGTCAGTGTTCTATATAGGGAACAGCACTCAGTGTACTGATGTCAGTGTGATATATAGGGAACAGCACTCAGTGTACAGATGTCAGTGTTCTATATAGGGAACAGCAATCAGTGTACAGATGTCAGTGTGATATATAGGGAACAGCACTCAGTGTACAGAGGTCAGTGTTCTATATTGTGTTATTCCCTATATAGAACACTAATATCTGTACAATGAGTACAGGAAATGGAGACTACAATTCGCATAGACTCACCAAAATTGGACAATAGAAGATTGGAAAAACGTTGCCTGGTCTGAGAAGTCTTGATTTCAGCTGCAACATTCAGGTAGGGTCAGAATTTGGTGTAAACAAGATGAAAGCATGGATCCATCCTGCCTTCTATCGCACACACATTGCTCCCCCGTGTATGCCATACACACACACAATCAGTCCTACATTTGTTCTATACATTCACACATACATACACTGCAAGTAAGGTCAAAGTAAAGTCAGAATGTCTCATCTGCATATTCCTGGTCCCAATGTCTCAAAGACTGAAGCAACAGGATCAGTATAAGGCCTTGCGTACCTAACCATACAACCATTCAATGGTCTATATAAAGTTATAAAGTATAATGCACACTATAATTTCATGAATAAAAAAAGAATTAAAAAAAAAAAAAAAAAATGGAGCCCTGCCATCCTTCCAGACAATGATGTGCTTGGATACAGAATCTTTGGAAACTATGTGACCTGCCTCAAAGTGGTTGTAAAAGCGGAGGGCTTTTCCACGCAGGAATGTGAAAAAGCTTCAGTGTGCAGCTTCCCTCCTCAGCCTCCCCTAATACTTACCTGAGCCCAATAAAGCGATGTACACATCAGTAATGGTTCTGCTGGGTCTCTCCCTCCTCATTGGCTAAGACACAGCAGTAGAAGCCATTGGCTCCCATTGCTGTCAATCACAGCCAGCGAGGAGCGACACAGAGCAGGGGGGAAGAGCCAGGGGTACCATAGGGGATCCCGAGAAGAGGAGAAGGATTAGGCTGCTTTGTGCAAAACCATTACACAGAGCAGGTAAGTATAACATGTTTGTTATTTAAAAAAAAAACCTAAACCTTTAGTACCACTTTAATCATCCCCCATCAGTGCTTACTTGTGCCCTTGAAGTTCCAGTGCCGTTCCTTTTCGTCCCCCAATATCCCACATGATGATGGAATGATCCGAGCTTCCTGAGAACAGAAGTCTTTGTACCGGATCCCAGCACAAGGTGGTCACCCCAGCTGCAAGTAAAGAAAGTACACAGAAATGTATGCGGAAAGTAGTACAAGCGCCTAAGTGTATAAGTAACAAGCTGCTATGCACAAAAAAGGTACCAATATCACCCTAAAAACAACAATGTATATATGAAGTGCAGCGCTCGGTATTAAAAACAAATATATGTATTGGAATGGAGGTTGATCCCATACAAATGCTCAAAAAACAAAGAAATTGTCCAGGAAATGAATATGAAAATTAAAGTGCTCAGGTGACATGAGAGTCCGGTATCCGTGTGGTAGTGATAAAGCAATGCTCACTCACCGGACGCGCATATTAAATGCGCTTTTGTGTATAAAAAATCCAGATGTCATCTGCTAGTGGATGGTCCTCCTCCTACCACACGGACTCTCATGTCACCTAAGCACTTTAATTTTCATATTAATTTCCTGGACTATTTCTTTGTTTTTTGAGCATTTGTATGAGATCAATCTCCATTCCAATACATATATTTGTTTTTAATACCGAGCGCTGCACTTCATATATACAAAGAAAGTACACAGATGCACATAAATTAAAAAAAAACAAAACTACTATAATAAACAAGCATGAAATCATTGCTCATGTTTTCCAGCGACTACTACACTATGGAAGCTTACCACAATTTGATAAAATGATGTATATGATCCTTTCACTGTTCACTGCCCACCCCTGCTGTCCTAGATGTCATCACATAGACAGGAGGGGAGGAGGGTTCGGTTGGGAACAGTGCACCACAACCAATACCATCCCAGCCACTTCCCTGCCTAACTCAGCATGGGGATGCGATCTACCCCTCAGCTGTCTGCTACTGACAGGTAGATCACTGCGGAACCCCTGAGAACCTCTCGCTGAACCCCGGTTGAGAAACACTGCTATAGAGTGTACCCAAGATGTATGAAACCCAATACTTGATGAATGACATTTCTAATATTTGGCAAGTAAAATAGTTCACAGAGGCATATTTCAATTGTTTATTTAGCTGCTTGAATGGCACTCTTCTTTTATATTATCCTGGATAACACACAATACAAAAGAGCAAAGTGTAAATGTGATTATTAACATCTAAAGGACAGACAATGTGAGGCTGTTCCATCATAGCACAGTCATGGAAAAAGCTCAGCTAAAAGATCTGGGGATTAAGAGAAGTCTAAGTGAGTAAATTGCTGTAATTAGAGGTTAGTGTTAATTCCTAGATGCTTAACACAGCCTGGGAGAGGCGTGGATCAATGTCATTTGAAAGGACTTTTTCTCGGTAACATTTACACAGGGCCCTGGAGTTCAGCTGGATGCTGAGATTAATCTGATGTGTACAGCATTGCCAAAAGGGATATACAAGCTGTGCTTCTGAAAGCACAGCACAGGAAAATCACAAAAACAATGTCTCGGTATAAAATATCATTTTATTCTAATTAGTAATGGTGACATTTCTAAAGGTGCTCTTGGAGGCTTGAAGGGGTGGCGCAGGGCCTGAGGAGCTTTACTACGTAGGAGATAAAATGTCTTGTGAAATCATTCCACTGAAGCCCACTCACCTGTATGTCCCTTAAATGTGGTAATGAGGCTGCAGTTGTCTTGTTCAAGTTTTAAAATGGTCACCTGTCCAGAATAATCCCCGACAAATACGTGTCTTGTCTCCACATCGAATCTGTCAAGCTGATGTTAAGGGACATAAAGGCAAAAGGCAGGATACTTCACCTCCACTGCTTTAAATCAAAATCACATGCAGTACTCATATCAGCTTTATCCTTAAAGGGTTTACCAAAAAGCTGCTTATACATGTATGTGGAGCCTGAAGATATAAACAAACTCTGCTTTCACCAAAGGTAAATTATGCCCTTACTTTCGGTGTAGGCCATTTATGTACCTCCCGAAGCCTGGCAAACCCCCTCGGAGATGGCATCATTCTGTCCTGCCTTGTTGCTAGGACATGGCCAAGACACTACAAGTCAATTTCTCTCCCCTATTGCAGTAGCTCTCAGCTCAGCAAAGCTGATGATAGTGGACCACATGTGTAGGGGACTGAAAGCTCGCTCCTGTGATAGTGGGGGTGAGCAGTAATGGCTGGGACTGTCTTAGCAACAAGGCAGGATAGGAAGCGGTCATCTCTGGTAGTTTTCCAGCCAGGTTTCGGTAGGTATGTAAATGGCCTATACCTACAGCAATCCAACTTGAGTCAAAGCTGCACAGTTTGTTTTATCTACATGCACCCCTTTTCTGCATAGGCAGTTTTTTTTGGTAATGGTGAACTAACTCAAAGTTTTTATACAATACAGTTTCACATTTTTTCATCCTTTGTTTCATCTCAACACTTTAGATCTTCTCCTGCCTCTTTCAGCCACTTCCTGTATCATGCAACAGCTACATATCATTGTTCTGGTCCAGCTTCCTGATGGTGACAATGGTGGACTACTCCTGAACAATGAGTCAGCATAGTTTAAGTTTCCATCAGGGACACATGTGTCAACGTGACAACACAGGAACACAATTGGGAAACAGTTGTCACCTTAAAACAGGATGTGCCTAAATAATGACTTTTATGGCAGGATCTCAGGCATGTTTTAATAAAATATGCAAGTTTAAAAAGACAGAAAACAACAGTACACATTAAAGTTTATGTAAAATCAGTCACTAAAACATCACAACGTTTAGAGCGACCCTCTCATGAAATCAGTAGTCATCAACAGCACTCTCCCAGCAAAAGGAGAGAGTACATTTTCTTACTGAAATGAGCAGAGCGTTTCGTCTGAATTCTGTTGAAAAACCAACACTTTGGGAGTGCTGATCTCCTGATAGCCTGCAGCACTCAGTAGTTCCTCCTGCAGACCTCCAGGACACTACAAGGCATGGAGAACAATGGAAGGAACCACTTAGTGCAGCAGGGTCCAAGAGATCGACACTCCACAAATTTATGGTTTCCCAGTGGCTGTCAGAGGAAGACATCTCTTCATCAGAACAACATTTGGTGGCACAAGTAGCAGGAGAGGTGAGAATTGTCTCCTTGCCTGCAGGGAGAGCCAATTTAAGACTGGCCTGTTAACAGTCTGTTCAGAGGAAGAGGAAGCATGTGCTGTGCACACACAAAGTCACAGCATGTAACCCTATGTATGCAGATTCATGTCCTAATGCATTAGAGGGCCAGTTCACCAAAGCTTGGACTGCTGGAGAGATTTACAGGTCATAAGGCACTCTCAATTGGTTTAAACCTTTGAAAACACAACTGTACTCATGACAAAATCATCACTGCACACTTTTTCTTTGGGCGAAGCTTGACCAATGTCTACGATACTCGTCACCGCTGTTTGCTCTTCTGCAGCTTCTAGTAAGTTGCCAGTAGTACAGATAACTTTTGCCTTCTGCATGGTCACCAAAACGTCACCTAGCTTTGAAAGCTATTTAAAAATGTAAAGATAATTGTACAGACTTCTGTAGGCCAACTCTATTTACTAAGAACAATAAAGGGTTAAATAATGCAGCTTGCAAAAATACTTGTCTAATCCAAAGGTTTTAGAAGTTCCTTCTAGAAGGTCACACCCGATCTCCATATGAATTTCATTTCCACATTAAACATGTGCTGGGCGTCACATCAAACAATCCACCAAAGCAAGTACATTCCACCCATCCATGCTGCACGTCTCGGCATTAGAACGGATTGCTGGTTGTTATAAGCACATTAATACTTCAATTCTGATATGGTGGCTACGTGGTCAGCACTCTTGCCTCGTAGAGCTGGGATGGTGAGTTAAATTCTTACTGAGGAATCTATTTGCATGGGGATTGAATGTGTTCCCCAGTTTTACTCTGGTTACCCTACAAAAACCAAAGACATACTGGTAGGTGTGAAAAAGTTTCTGATAAAAATGGTCCTTTTGTGTGTATGTATGTACGTGGGACTGTACATTTCTTCTGAGGCAGGTTTCAAAGTCCTTTGTACAGAGCTGAGGAAAAAAAATGTCAATGCAGCGCAAATAAGTTCTGCGATTTTAGTCTGCACATATATCATTTTAAATCCAATAATGTAATATATATAATGTAGTCCAACCATTGGCCATCTTCCAGTTGTACAATTTAAGAGAACAGGATTATATGGGCTCTCCAGAAGAACATCTCTTCCACCAGTCAGCAGTGGACAGAGAAGAATGACGTTTCCTTGTTGCTCTAGCTGGTGGCTATGCTTAGCACCTGACTACACATCCTTCAGACAAGGCTAATATATTTAGGTTCTAGTCGGTAAGCCATATTGTAGTCATGTATTGAACACACATTTTACAGTCCGATGGTGTAGCACCCACAATAACCAAAATGGATTTCTTGTTACTGAAACCTGAATGCAGTTAGTGTAGTAGTTAAAGCAAGGGCAAGAATGAGAACCCAAAACCTTTAGAAACAAGACAACGATGGCAGCTGTCATAAGTCTGTCCAGACAGGTTCCCTTTAACCTCCTTAGCGGTTTTTCCCGAGTGTAGCTCAGGGTAAAATTTCAATACCAAGAGCGGTAACCCCGAACTACACTCGGGCTTACCATGCGGCGTTGCTCAGGGGGACCCTGCAGCACTTACCTTGTCCTTCACTCCCGCGATATGTCCCCTGCAGCGTCCCCGGCCATCTCCTCCGGCCGATGCCGGCATCTGGCTTCCGTGTTCCGGTCCCTGTGATGTCGGGACGTACGGGCGCTGGAACCGGCGGGAAATTTGACATTTTTAAAAAATGTAATTTTTGCTGTCATTGCCGTTTCAATGCATTTCACATATATTTTGTCCCTACTGCTTTGTCCTGTGCCCTGCCTGCATTTTGACTGTTCTTTCTGCCTGGAAACATAGAAAAGTCCATGGCGTCCAAAAAGCGTCCCTTTACATCAAAAGCAGTTTTAGAACAGCGATAGTAAATCAGAACCACTTGCAGAATTGAGTGATGATTCGTCGGGAAATTAGTCATCAGACACTGAAAACGATTTTGCGACTTTGCTCAGCGATGTGCGAATTTGCCTCTGTATTTCAAATTTCAGTGTTTTTGGTTTAATTATATTATTGAATTAAATGTATTATATTATTTTTTATGATTATTTATTAAATTATAATTTATGATTTCGTGTTTCAAGTTTTATCATAACCGGAATGTTTACTAGACTCTTGTTCGTACAGATTTCAGTGAGTTATTCCTAAAAATTACAGGCCTACAATAAAAAACTACATATTTCCATGCAAAAAAATGGTACCGCTTTCAGCACAAAAAAATCGGAAAGAATCATACCGCCAAGGAGGTTAAACAAAGTAAACAAGGGTTCCTCTTTAATAAGTGAATGGCTAAACCAGAAGCAGAGGTCAGAGAGCTGGTCTCCTTCAGCATACACGTGACTTAGAAATATAGACATATAAATGCTACTTTGGCAGCCTCATGACTTTATATATTCAGGCAGCTTTTCTTTTTTTTTTTTAACCAGTTCTAGCTACTTCACACTGGTTCTGGTATGCAAGTTGCCAGACAAGACTGGTAGCAGGAGTTTAATGACCACTGAGCTACAAACTCTACATAGTTCAACCAAGATATTTCAGTAGATACCTCAATAATGGATCTCATTATTTGCTAATGAGTTAAACAACGCAACATCTTTTTTTCCTCTTAGTTTTGGTTGCCAGCTGTTATCAACTCTGCTCTGCTGATAATGTGGGAATCTCATGGTCCCTGTTGGATTTTGTATTTGTTTTTATACATGTCAGAAGGAGAAATACTAATGCCTAGTGCACACAATCAGAAAATCGGACAAAAAATACCGCTTTTAAATAGATTGTACAATAATCTGATCATTAGTACACAAGTTTCGAGAGCTGATCATGACAGCTCATGATAAATTATCCAAAGGGACAAACACGAAAATTTTTTCTTGTACGATATCAGAATGTATGATTTTTGTTTATTCATTACAGTATTCGTCCGAAAAAAAATCGAATCGGAAGACCAAGACCACGCATGCTCCCACAGTTCTGAACTTCTGCTCTGCCACTTTTCTGCTCAGAGATCCTAGTTGCAAAGGACCTGAGGATGCCACAAGCAGAGTTAGAGATGGAGAGAGTTGTAGGCATAGAGCTTCCGGCAGAACAGCGATGTACAGTGCCCTGAAAAAGTATTCGTAACCCTTGAAATTTTCCACATTCTGTCATGTTACAACCAAAAACGTAAATGTTTTTTATTGGTATTTGATGTCATAGACCAACACAAAGTGGCACATAATTGTGAAGTGGAAGGAAAATGATAAATGGGTTTCAAAATTTTTTACAAATAAATATGTGAAAAGTGTGGTGTGCACTTGTATTCCCCTCTGAGTCAATACTTTGTAGAATCACAATTCGCTGCAATTACAGCTGCAAGTCTTTTTGGGGATGTCTCTACCAGCTTTGCACATCTACAGAGTGAAATGTTTGCCCATTCTTTCTTGCAAAATAGCTCAAGCTCTGTCAGATTGGATGGAGAGCATCTGTGAACAGCAAACTACAGAAACTCAATTGGATTTAGGTCTGGACTTTGACTGGACCATTCTAACACATGAATATTTTTTGATCTAAACTATTCCATTGTAGCTCTGGCTGTATGTTTAGGGTTGTTGTCCTGCTGGAAGGTGAACCTCCGCCCCAGTCTCAGGTCTTCTAAGATTGCCCTGTATTTTGCTGCATCCATCTTCCCATTACCTCTGACCAGCTTCCCTGTCCCTGCTGAAAAAATGCATCCCCACAACATGATCCTGCCACCACTATGTTTCACAGTGGGGATGTGTGTTCAGGGTGATGTGCAGTGTTAGTTTTCCGTCACACATAGCGCTTTGCTTTTAGGCCATAAAGTTAAATTTTGGTCTCATCTGACCAGAGCAACCTTCTTCCACATGTTTGCTGTTTCCCCCACATGGCTTCTCACAAACTGCAAATGGGACTTCTTATGGCTTTCTTTCAACAATGGCTTTCTTCTTGCCACTCTTACATAAAGGCCAGATTTGTGTAGTGCACGACTAATAGTTGTCCTGTGGACAGATTCTCCCACCTGAGCTGTGGATCTCTGCAGCTCCTCCAGAGTTACCATGGGCCTCTTAGCTGCTTCTCCGATTAATGCTCGCCTTGCCTGACCTGTCCCTTTAGGTGGACGGCCATTTTCGGATGATGGATTGAACAGTGCTCTGTGAGATGTTCAAAGCTTGGGATATTTTTTTATAACCAAACTCTACTTTAAACTTCTCCACAATTTTATCCCTGACCTGTCTGGTGTGTTCCTTGGCCTTCATGATGCTGTTTGTTCAATAATGTTCTCTAACAAACCTCTGAGGGCTTCACAGAACAGCTGTATTTATACTGAGATTAAATTACACACAGGTGGACTCTATTTACTAATCAGGTGACTTCTGAAGGAAATTGGTTCCATTAGATTTTAGTTAGGGGTATCAGAGTAAACGGGGCTGAATACAAACGCACGCCACATTTTTCACATATTTGTAAAAAAATTTGAAAACGATTTATCATTTTCCTTCCACTTCACAATTATGTGCCACTTTGTGTTGTCTATCATATAAAATCTCAATAAAATACATTTTACATTTTTGGTTGTAACATGACAAAATGTGGAAAATTTCAAGGGGTATGAATACTTTTTCAAGGCACTGTAATTGCAGCTACATCATTGACCAGATTGAATGCCCACACTGTTGCCCGCCCAAACACCATATAATGGCTCAGCGTTATTGGCATATGCCGTTTTGCAGGACACAGGATGTGACGTAGGTTGCCTTGAAGATCTCTTTTCCTACTTCCTCAGACAGAGTACTTTATGAATGTAAATCATAACATCCCTGGGTACAAAACAGTGTTTTTGTTTTTTTTTTTCTTGCATAGATTGTTCATTTGGCAGAGTGTGCTAAGAGATCAGATAACACGAGAATTGTGCTCTTGGATCTGTAAAGTTCACCATACAATCTGATTTTACAATCTCCTGTAGATCTACCATCAACTATGTAGTACAAGGGCCTGCCTGACTGGATACAGAGTGATTGGGTAAATAGGTTTGTCCTCCTATTCCATAGCTCTGCAAAATCTAAAATAAATTGTACAGAGATTGTACAATCAGATTGCATTATGTATGGCCACCTTTATAAACCTAAAATGAACAAGTTGTGCTTTCAGTGCCATGAATTGTTAACGGCACAGCAAACACATTTTTCCATGTGAAAAAATAAGTGGCAATCACAGCAAAACACATAGTAAAAAACGCGACACCCACATCACTCCAAAATGTTCCATGAGCCACATGAAGTGCAGCCCATTGAAATCAACAGGCTGCCCTATGCGTGTAACGGGAAACACAAGCCAAAACACATGTGCTCTCACTAGGATAGGTGTGAATGGAGTCTGAAAGTGAAACTGGTTTGTTCACACAAGAACAATACGGCTCCATTTACATCTGAGCGTTTCTGAACGCATGGTACACTGCACAGAAAATGTGTGTTTTCCCTTGCATTTCAGAAATGTGCTGCACCAAACATCACAGTAAAAAAAAGCACCACACTCCAAAATAAAAAAAAAAAAAAAAAAGTTCTGGAGCTTCTTTGGGGGCGACTACTATGTGTAGGGCAGCCCATTCAAGTGGATGAGCTGCCCTATGCGTGACAAGTAAAAATGCTCAAAAACACCCCCCCCAAAAAAAAAAAAAACCATGCAGGAATGAGAGTTCCATTCTCCTGTTTCAATACTAAAGCTCTATCCACATAGGCTGTTATCTGATCTCTCAGCACAAAACAAACGATCTATGCAAGATGAAAGTTAAATTAGAAAAATAAAAATCGATGTCTGTGTATTTAGTGAGAACAGTCATCACTGATTGATTGCATTTCATTTAATAGTTGTGCACCTGGAAGTGGGTGGGAGGTAAGTGGGTAGATGATGCAGGATGAGTGCTAATGGGGTCAGTTGGACAACTCCTTTCCAAGTCATGACCAAAGGTCTCTAAAGTGAAGTAAGGCAGAAGTCATGGAGAAGATTTTTATACAGCCATCTGGACACTGACATAAAAGGAGAAAAAATGGAAAACTTTTGAATTTTGAAGGTACAATTATTATATATTGGTGCATAGAGGAGCTGAAGAAAGGACAAGCTCCATTGAGGACATGGCTACCCTACGTGTGCAAAGCTCTAAGCCCATGCAACGACAACTTACTACCCATGGGGCCGATTGGAGGACCTTGAAAATAGGCTCCACAAAAACAACATCTGGTGGTCCGCCTCAGCCCCCTTTTTTTTTTTTTTTACTAAAGCTGCTGGACTATAAAGATCAAGATCTGATCCGGCAGAAGGCTCATCAACACTTATGGATGGCTCCAGGATCACCTTTTTTTCCAAATTTTTCAGAGGAGGTGCAGCACCAGCGAGCCAAATATTCTGATGTGAAGGCTGCTGGGCTAATTTATCAGGTCAAAGGGCGCTGTGCAAAGTGTAGCAGCTCAGTGATCACCCTTTATTGTTTTGACAGATGAATGCCAATGTACAATAAAATATGATTAGTTGCCACAAGAATGTACTTTAAATATCAGTACTCTTATGCTGTTTATTTATGAGCAAACAGCATGTGGTAATGAAAAGACCTGTTAGTCGATCTCCTAATCTACAATCATCAGATGGCTGCTATACTTTACTGCTCTTCTTACTGACTTCATATATCTTCCAGTACACACACTGGCGGATCATAAAACTGTATGATTCACTGAACCCATTTATACCACACTTGGTGAATAAAGCAAATATTCACTGCGTTTCTCAGAGTATGTGTAAGGATACTGCAGACATGAAGCACAGGCTGTAGTGCGGTAGTTTCCCAGACGTTCCCCCGTCTCTGAACAGTGCCATGTGAACAGCTTGTCCTGTCCTGTACTCAACATCCACTCCATTTCCAGGACAAACAGAACCATTGTCAGTCGGCTCTGGTGGGCTGTGAAGACACAACAGAAAGATAAATGTTTAGATGCATGCTATGGTGTACATGAGGCAATTTATTAGCCACGTCTCTAATGGAGAGCTCTTACATTGTATGGAAATTTGCTGTATGATAAGCAGCAGAGAGGTGGGGGAAGGTACGCACTAGTCTAGTTTTTCACTTATGAAAGTTTTAAGGTATTTTGGCCCAGCCTCATACTTAGAGGAAGCCCAGTACAGCCTTGGAAGAGTTTGGTGCTACAATGATAATTGCGCTTGTTACACTCCTACCCTTGTTTTCCCAGCCAGGTGAGATGGAGTAGTTGGCTATTCAAAGAATCCTCACACTATTCAACCTCCTCCAGAACTTGTGCTGATAAAGGGAAGGGAGGGAGGGAGAGAGAGGGGGGGGGGGGGGGGGGGGGGGGGGGGGAGGGGAGGGGGGGGGGGGGGGGGGGGAGGAAGGGGGGGGAGGAGGGGGGGGGGGGGGGGGGGGGAGAGGGGGGGGGGGGGGGGGAGAGGGGGGGGGGGGGGAAAGGGAGTGAGGGGGGGGAGAGAGGGGGGGGGGGGAGGGAGGGGGGGAGGGGGGGGGGGAGGGGGGGGGGAGAGGGGGGGGGGAGAGAGGGGGGGGGGGGGGGAGGGGGGAGGGGGGGGGGGAGGGGGGGGGAGAGGGGGGGGAGAGAGAGGAGGGGGGAGAGAGGAGGGGGAGAGGGGGGGGGAGGAGGGGGGGAGAGGGGGAGGGAGGGGGGGGGGAGAGAGGGGGAGGGGAGGAGGGAGGGGAGGGGAGAGAGCGGGGGGAGAGGAGGGGGGGGAGGGGGGGAGGGAGGGGGAGAGAGAGAGAGGGGAGGGAGGAGAGATGGGAGGAGAGAGGGAGAGAGGGGGAGAGAGGGGAGAGGAGAGGGGAGAGAGGAGAGGGAGGGGAGAGGGGAGAGAGGAGAGAGGAGAGAGAGGGAGAGGAGAGAGAGGAGAGGGGAGAGGAGGAGAGAGAGAGGAGAGGAGAGAGAGGGAGAGAGGGGAGAGTGGAGGAGAGGGAAGAGAGAGGAGAGAGTGAGGAGAGACTTGGGAGAGAGTTCGTACACTTTCTCTCTTAAAATGTTCTCGGAAGATTTTCTCAGGGAGAGGAAGATGAGAAGGACAACTGGGAGACACTTCCGAAACTTGATTAATCTCGGATTCTTTTCCAGACTGGTTCACGGGGCATACCAACCTGACAGGAGCTCTTCTCTCAAAACAGCACTGCTACTCTCTTAATGCCGCTTAACACTGTATGGACTGCTGTTAGAAACCACGGGGCATACAGCCAACCTGACAGGGGACCTCTTCTTCGCCCCCTCAAAAAACAAAAACACAGCTTACTATGCTTCAGTTATGCATGAACACAGTGAGTGATCGGTACTGGTCACTCACTGGGTTCCTTAAGGAAAGGAAGGGGCTGCTAAATGTGTCATTTACCAGACCCTTTCCCTACTCTCATGAAATATCCTATTGTGTACTTGCAGCTGGCAGTGGGAAGTAAGAGGAGGATCCAGAAGCCAGCAGCACTGTGGGGGGAGGGGGGCACACAAGGGGGCAGGGGCCAGAGAGGGAAATACTCCAGCAGCAGCTGCATCCCTTTCAGCAGTTTTTATGAGGGAGAGAGAATCAGAAAAGTGAATAGCAGTTGATGAGTTTCCCCTCTTGCATCCCTTTCAGCTCACATGTTTTTATCCATTTATTTTTTTAACAATTTTATTTGTACATAAGCATTTCTCTCTAACTTAAGCACTGTCTTCCTCTGTTTTTGGGACTTTCCTCCCCATCCTTGCTACCATAACCACAATGCAGTCTTCATTGAACCTCAAACTTTGGAACCTTACTTTTCTGTGGCTCCATGCTTGAAATGTGTACCAGAGCTGCATTAGCCATGCCATGAAGTGTTACCAGCAGCAGCTGGATTTTTAGGGCTCATATACACTGCAGCTGATAAACTCACGTTTAGGAGCTGTTCAGCGTATTTTTTTTTCAGCAGCCCTGAGCGCACCTTAATGTTTTCCTGTGTGTCCATCTACACATCTTTGTTTACAGTCGTTTACAGGCATTTGTTCAAAGTTGTTTTTTTTTAACTGCAGAAAACTTGCGTTTAGCAGTTGATTTTATCAGCGTTTTGAAACGCAAAAGGCTTGTAAACGCGGCAAATTGCATTTATAAGCGTTTGCCTTTGAACATTTTTTTTTTTAACTCTTCCAGTTCCTGATGCCGTCCAGAGCCATTTTTTTATCATGAAAAATACATGCAAAGCGTGTTCAAGGTACTCAGATGGACAAAACACTGAACACAGGATGTTCCTACCAAGCTGGTCACACATTGTAATGACCAATTCACACCTCAGACCTCTCCCACCCTTGGAAACAAAAGATATGTTAATGCCCATTCACACCTCAAATTCCTTATGAGAACGCCCTGCCAGGTGGCCTTAATGACTGACTCCACCAGACACCTTCCCACCCTTGGAAACAAAAGAAATGTTAATGAGCAACTCACACCTAATCTAATCTCAACACATACTGCCGTCTCTGCTTCTACCCTCTGTATTTCTCTGAAATAGTTAATTTACCACTTTTCAGTGCATTCTGGGCATTTGGGAGGTTCTCCTGTGCTTATCTTTAAAAACGCTTCTAAATGCATACGCACATAAATGCATTATGCAAACACAGCTAAACAGACGGTTTTTAACCTATAGTCAGGTCCATAAATATTGGGACATCGACACAATTCTAACATTTTTGGCTCTATACACCACCACAATGGATTTGAAATGAAACAAACAAGATGTGCTTTAACTGCAGACTGTCAGCTTTAATTTGAGGGTATTTACATCCAAATCAAGTGAACGGTGTAGGAATTACAACAGTTTGCATATGTGCCACCCACTTGTTAAGTGACCAAAAGTAATGGGACAGAATAATACCGTATTTGCCGGCGTATAAGACGACCCCCCTACTTTTCCTGCTAAAATGTAGTGTTTGGGCTATACTCGCCGTATAAGACTACCCCTCTTCCAATGCACACCAGTGGGAGGAATAGTGCCCCATCATTGATGTCAGTGGGAGGAATAGTGCCCCATCATTGGTATTAGTGGCAGGAATAGTGTCCCATCATTGGCATTAGTGGCAGGAATAGTGCCCCATCATTAGTATCAGTGGAGGAATAGTGTCTCATCATTGGTGTCAGTGGGAGGAATAGTGCCCCATCATTGGTGTCAGTGGGAGGGACAGTGCCCCATCATTGGTGTCAGTGGGAGGAATAGTGCCCCATCATTGGTATCAGTGGGGGGAATAGTGCCCCATCATTGGTATCAGTGGGGGGAATAGGTGCCCCATCATTGGTATCAGTGGCAGGAATGGTGCCCCATCATTGGTATCAGTGGCAGGAATAGTGCCCCATCATTGGTATCAGTGGCAGGAATAGTGCCCCATCATTGATGTCAGTGGGAGGAATGGTGTCCCATCATTGGTGTCAGTGAGAGGTGGAATAGTGCCCCATCATTGGTGTCAGTGGGGGGTGGAATAGTGCCCCATCGTTGGTGTCAGTGGGGGGGGAATAGTGCCCCATCATTGGTGTCAGTGGGGGGGAGGAATAGTGCCCCATCGTTGGTGTCAGTGGGAGGAATAGTGCCCCATCATTGGTATCAGTGACACCAATGATGGGGCACTATTCCTCCCACTGAGACTTGCTGACCCTGTTCTCGTATGGTGCTGCTGCAGCCAGCATATGTGGTTGCAGCAGCACCTCTACACAGAACACTTACCTGCTGCTCCGGCACTCAATTTTCGCGGGGCCGCTCGGCTCCGCCCCCTCGCCGGTGATTGGCCACCTGTGTGCCTTTCCTGAGCTACAGTTCTGGCGGCCAATCACAGGTGAGGAGGCGGAGCCGAGCAGCCGCACGAACATCCAGTGGCCGAACTGAAGGAGACGCCGCGCTTCCTGGACCGGATCGTCGTGGGACTGGATCCAGGTAAGAGACATCAGCCCCTGCAAACCCCTGTACTTAATGCCGCAGCCCCCCTAACATGTGTACCGGCGTATAAGACGACCCCCGACTTTTGAGAAGATTTTCAAGGGTCAAAAAGTCGTCTTATACGCCGGCAAATACGGTAATCATAAATCAAACTTTCACTTTTTAATACTTGGTTGCAAATCCTTTGCAGTCAATTACAGCCTGAAGTCTGGACTGCATAGACATCACCAGACGCTGGGTTTCATCCCTGGTGATGCTCTTCCAGGCCTCTACTGCAACTGTCTTCAGTTGCTGCTTGTTCTTGGGGCATTTTCCCTTCAGTTTTGTCTTCAGCAAGTGAAATGCATGCTCAATCGGATTCAGGTCAGGTGATTGACTTGGCCATTGCATAACATTCCACTTCTTTCCCTTAAAAAACTCTTTGGTTGCTTTTGCAGTATGCTTTGGGTCATTGTCCATCTGCACTGTGAAGCGGCGTCCAATGAGTTCTGAAGCATTTGGCTGAATATGAGCACATAATATTGCCCGAAACACTTCAGAATTCATCCTGCTGCTTTTGTCAGCAGTCACATCATCAATAAATACAAGAGAACCAGTTCCATTGGCAGCCATACAAGCCCACGCCATGACACTACCACCACCATGCTTCACTGATGAGGTGGTATGCTTAGGATCATGAGCAGTTCCTTTCCTTCTCCATACTCTTCTCTTCCCACCACTCTGGTACAAGTTGATCTTGGTCTCATCTGTCCATAGGATGTTGTTCCAGAACTGTGAAGGCTTTTTTAGATGTCGTTTGGCAAACTCTAATCTGGCCTTCCTGTTTTTGAGGCTCACCAATGGTTTACATCTTGTGGCGAACCCTCTGTATTCACTCTGCTGAAGTCTTCTCTTGATTGTTGACTTTGACACACATACACCTACCTCCTGGAGAGTGTTCTTGATCTGGCCAACTGTTGTGAAGGGTGTTTTCTTCACCAGGGAAAGAATTCTTTGGTCATCCACCACAGTTGTTTTCCGTGGTCTCTCTGATGGGTTTGTTTTGTTTTTTCAGCCTAATGATGGCTTGCTTCACTGATAGTGACAGCTCTTTGGATCTCATCTTGAGAATTGACAGCAACAGATTCCAAATACAAATAGCACACTTGAAATGAACTCTGGACCTTTTATCTGCTCATTGTAATTGGGATAATGAGGGAATAACACACACCTGGCCATGAAACAGCTGAGAAGCCAATTGTCCCATTACTTGACATGGGACAATTGGCTACACACCTGGCCATGAAACAGCTGAGAAGCCAATTGTCCCATTACTTTTGGTCCCTTAACAAGTGGGAGGCACATATGAAAACTGTTGTAATTCCTACACCGTTCACCTGATTTGGATGTAAATACCCACAAATTAAAGCTGACAGTCTGCAGTTAAAGCACATCTTGTTCGTTTCATTTCAAATCCATTGTGTTGGTGTATAGAGCCAAAAATGTTAGAATTGTGTTGATGTCCCAATATTTATGGACCTGACCGTACGTTTTCCAGCAGTCAAGTTCCATCATTCAGAAGTGTCCCATGTACACACATACTAGGTCCAATTAAAGTGGTTCTAAAAGGGTGTTTTTTTTTTACTTTCATGCATTCTATCCATGAAGGTAAAAAACCTTCACTGTGTAGCTGCCCCCTCAGCCCCCCTAATACATACCCGAGCCTGATCTTCATCCAGTGATGTGCACGGGAACCTCAGCTCTCACAGGGTTCTCTCCTCTAATTGGCTGAGACACAGCCAATGGCTCTCGCTGCTGTTAATCACAGCAAGTGAGAAGGGAGTAGGGGGCAGAACTGAGCTGCGCTCTGTGCATCCCATAGACACACAGAGCTGGCTCGGGAGCGAGCATGCACTAGCACTCTCAGAGCAAGTAGCTTGCGCTGGGAGCACTCAGCAAGTGGGAGGGTCACCGGCAGGGGACCTGAGAGAGAGGAGGATGGAGAATGCTCTGTGAAAAACCATTGCACAGAGCAGGAAAGTATGACATGTTTGTTATTTTAAAGAGAAAGCCCTTTAGAACTTTAAGACAGGACCCAAACAACCTACCCTCTTTGGAAAGAACCCATGCAAGCTCAGGTAGAACATGCAAACTCCATGTAAATAGTGTCATGGCTAGAATTCGAACCAAGGATCCTAGAGATTTGAGGTATACATGCTAACCACTAAGCCACTGTGCTAACTGGTTAGCACATCACTGTGAAGTACAGGTATTTAGCAAAACCAGCTCTTCAATGATAAATGTAGTGAAACAAAACTCCAGATGGCTCATAGAAATCAGTTATGAATAACAGCTTTATCTAAATGTACGTTTTATAGAAATGAATCTTGTTCTGCAATACAGTTACGTTTATTCTCAGTAAAGTAAGAATAATTTGAATTTTATGTTCTAGAAACAACATGCCCAAAGGCTGCGTGTACTACCTGCATCCATGCAATTCAAACACTCGTCAAACGAGCTGAAAGAAATGCAAAGTTGTAGCCAGTGATTGTTCGGAGAAATGGTAGTACACCAGACTGTCGTCTACATGAAATGTCAGCCATGCATGGCCTGCAGAACTCAGAACACAAAATCCCATTCCCAATTAAAAACAGAAAGGGCAAACTCATTTCTTACCTTGATATGTTCTTGATGGGATCATTTTTGTTGTAATCTTCAGATAAAATAAATTCCTGCACAAAGAAATAACATTTCTGATTACTTGCTGTCCCAAACAAGGCTTTAAGTTCCCTTGTGTCATAAGTTGATGTCCACAGTTCCCAAGAACTTTTGCATGTGTCACTTTTCAGGCTTGGGTAATCATCACCTCCTATATATTGCATTTGCTACTATTTTTAGAAACATGCCTGTATATGAGGTGGTATAAGAAAGTTTTGAGACTAGATTTGTAACACACCAACAGGTGGCAGCACAAGACTGCATGCAAAGTCAAAGGGAGCACCGACCTTCATAAGTCAGTCATACTGTGTACATCGGGAGCTGTGCAACTGGTGCTATTCTGACCACATGCCTTACCACATCTGCCGTTTTATCATGGACAGCAAAGTTAGAACAAAGACCAAATGTGAAATTCTGTGTAAAAGTTGTACACCCAAGTTTCATCAATGATCGGATGATGGAGGTCTTGGCAAACTTCAATGCGGTGTTCCTTCTGCTCCTGGGGACGAACTTGGCAGCAACACGGCGTATGCTCAAATCACACATGGAGGATTGCCTGGACTGTTCTGTATGACACCAACAATGGCAGCAATGTTGTAGATTGTTCTCCGAAGGTCATCGTGCATGAGTTGCAGAATGGTTTTGACATTTTCAGGGGTTGAGCTCGTTGAAAGTTTATCTGATCTCTCGTCGTATTCCAGTGATGCAGAATTTCACATTTGCTCTTTGTTCTAACTTGCTATCCATGATGAAATAGCAGACTTGGTAATGCATGTTGTCAGAATAGCACCAGTTGCACAGCTTCCGATATACACAGGATGAGCACACTGTCTTGTGAAGATTGGTGCTCCCTGTGACTGTGCATGCAGCCTTGTGCTGCCATCTGTTGGCGTGTTACAAAACGCCTCAAAACTTTTTGATACCACCTTGTATACTCCAGTCATGAGACAAATACAGAGTTTGTTCCAGGTCAGAGAATCAGAAAGTTGACAATTCCATGCCTAGGACACTGTTCTTAAACAGAGAGTGACTCACTCCTCTGAGGTCAGTTGACTTGCATTCTTTCTTCCCCCATGTCATTCCTACAAACAAGAACGCTTGAGAATATTCAGCAGACTAACATGCCTCCCAGACCCAGGATCAAGCTTGTATGTTGAACTGCCCTGTCACATCAGCTTAAAGGATAAGTAGCTGCCGTCCCAATTTGAAAAACAGCGCAGCCATACAGGGCTCCACCCACACGACTGCGTCATTCATTCACAGTTTTCGGTGAATTAATGCCTACAAGTACCGTCAGCCATTGCAGCTGATGGCTTGTATTTCTCAACTACAAGGGTGCTGGTGAGAGCTCTTGCAGTCCATTGATCTTCCTGCTCTCAAGTAGCTGCCTGTCCATACAAGGTATAGGGAGACAGCTATGCAGACAGTCTGCAGGAGCCAGAGATTGCACCTGCAATCTGCTGATCACAGGTGGAATGATCTGCAGGCTCCTCAATGGCAAAGAAAAAAAAATGCGCATTTATAATTGTTTTTTTTTTCCCCCAAAAGGTGAACCTTTCTTTAAAGAGACCCTGTTAGCAACGTAAAAATTTTGCAGGTAAAAGGCACAGAAAAATCAAGTCCAAATACATGAAGGTATGTGCTTCTACCTCCCAGTGTTATAATGCTGCTTTATCACCGGTGATCTGGCAGAAGCAGCTGACTCCTCATCCACATGGTCTGCAGAAGCAAAGAAAAGCTGGCACTCCGGTGTAAACTCTGCAATCTCGTGTTTAAATGGAAGCTAACAGATGACAGCCACAAATGTCAACGCGTTTCAGCCAAACTGACCAGTTTCATGAAAAAGGCCAGTATGGCTGAAACATGCTGACATTTGTGGCTGTCATCTATTATCTGCTAAGAACACAAGATTACAGAGTATAAAATGGAGTGCCAGGAAAATCAAGTGTTTTAATGCTTACTTAGTGATTTTCCTTTCTGTAAACAATTTTTATTCACTTTCTAGCAACTTTGACTTCTTCAGGGAGAGTCGATTCCCTAGCACAAAGTTCCCTCTCCCTTCTTGCACGCCATAGCCCTCTCCTCTTCTAAGAGTGTCTCATTGTTGTCTCTGCTGGTCCAGCTCCTCCGCTTTTCCCTTCACCTACATAACCTTTTATTATGAAGCTGCCAGGGTCGGAGTGAAGGGAAAACTATAGAGTGTCAGCTCTGAGTCTGCTGGGGCTGATGACACCACATCCATTATGGCAGTGCCCAACAGCAGTCTCAAGGCTTTGTGTCTACACAAGGGAAGCTTTTACAGGTAAACAGCATTTATACAATATGTTGAATGCACATATAACCTTATGGTAGGAGTGCTGTTGAAATGAACAGTCTGGTAACAGGACCTCTTCAAAATTTAGCATCGCATAACAAACCAAGTAAGAAAGCACTCATCCTTCTGGCAATTGCCAGCATTGCTGGCCCAGAACAGGTTCCATTGCTCAGGGCTGCAGAGTTTATTTTCACACCATACACAATAAAGGTGGTATGGTAACATAGGCCTGGAATCGCTTTCACAATGGTGTCAGTCTAGGTACCATAAATGTCATAATAGAAGGCTTTTGTAAAAGAATCTGTAAAACTGCATACAGAATGTGTCCTCATTTGTACTCCGAGCACTGACATTCTTCTTTGCTAAATCTGCCAAAACAGCTGATACTCCAGAAACCAGAATACACCTCCCAAAACTGGCCTTGGCTGTTCACACGGTCCCGAGATTGTCAGCACAATCTGGATCTTCACCATTTCTGAAATCTGTACTTATAATGGGAGGACTTTGGGAACAGCATCTGATGCCGGTACAAATTATTCATAGGCAAGTTAAATGGCACATGGCTAGGCACACCTACTGTGTAAAAGTCCTATTGTAACTTCATAGTGCACAATGCATCAAATGCTCTGTACTCTCTTCTTTTAATAGCAGACCCATGCAACAGGAGACCCTTAAAACCACGTTAAGGGCCAAGTTCACACCACATGCAGTCCAGTGCGTTTTTCTTTCTGCATGAAAAACAGGTTGTGATTTCCAGTGGCATAGTTAACACCAGTGCAGTCAGTTCCAGCAAAAAAAAAAACATTCTGCATTGTTCCTACACTGAATGGTACTGGAACACAGTAAAACGCATCAAAACACACGGGATCCAGGTACAGTGAAAGAAACAAACAAAAAAAAACCGTTAATACGGAAAAAAAACCCACATTTGTAATGCATCTGAAAACACATCAAAAAACGCACCAGAACACATAACGTGCTAACAATGAACATGCAGAAATGCATCCGGAGTGCGTTTTTGTGGCGTGAACAGGATTAAAGATAAAACTTGCTGCTGAAACCTAAAACAAAAAAAAAACAACAAAAAAAAAAAAAAAAAAAAAAAAAAAAAAAAGAAGAAGAGACCAGTGGAATTTTTAGCTACCAAATTTGTTTATTACTACTGAACACAATCAAGCAGTTTTGCTGTGATCCTATCTTTCCTAAGCCAGTTATCAAGTGCCACCAGGAGAGCGCATTTTCTGGCTCCCCTTACAGGACCACAGATGGAATATTTACTGGTTCCTTTAAACTACACATACCTGTGTTTCCACCTGGTCATGTGCAAAATAAGTATTAAACTGTTTAGCACACAAGAGGTGGAAGCAGGCATAAATCCAGTTTCAGCTGAAAACGTCCTGCATATATGCCAAAAACAAAATGATCTGGGAGGAGGCACCCAGAGAAAAGCAGAACGGAGCAGGAACAGAAGCTTTAATAAAATGTAATAATTGTAACAGATACTGTATTTTAAAGTTTAAACGTTAAAGAAAACAAAAACTCTATTCTAATCCGCAGCCTACTGTGATTTTCTAAAGAAAAAAAAAAAAAAAAAAAAGTCAAACTATGCTATTGACTCATTGCCCTTCATATAAAATTATATACTTTAAGTTAAAATTTCTGGTATTCACAGCATTGATTTACTGCCGAAGCCTTTCATTATTAGGAAAATACCATCTATAGCAGTGGAGGTCAGCTTACATGATCTAGGCCTGGAGTGTCCAAGCTTTTGACTTTCCTGGGTCACATTGGAAGAAGAGGAATTGTCTAGGGCCACACATAAAATACACTCACAAGAAGGATATCTGATGAACAGAAAAAGTTGGGCAGATCACAAGGTAATGATCACTGATCTAGATAATGTACCTATCTGAGTAATAAAACTTTTTATGCAATATTTTTTATTTTAAAAGTAAAAGAGGCAACATAAAACTAGTGCGATATTTGACACATCAATATGTTTTTATTTTATTTATTACAGATACTTATATAGTGCAGTCAAATTACGCAACGCTTTACATCAGTCCCAAACCCTCAAGGGGTTTACAATCTAAGGTGCCTGACTTACATTCATACATACACATACTAGGGCCAATTTAGACAGGAGCCAATTCTCCTACCAGCATGTCTTTGGAGGGCTGGAGAAAACCGGAAAACATTCACGCAGGCACAGGGAGAAAATGCAAACTCCAGGCAGGTGGTGCCGTGATTGGGATTCGAACCAGCAACCCAGGTGGAAGTGCTAACCATTTAGCAACTGTCTGATAAGCACCTTGAGAATTCATTGAGAATTGCTACTACATCCAGACAGATATTTTGGTTCTAATTTTGTCCTAAATGTTCTTCATCCTTCGAAAATAGTTGCTCACAAATATAGATGCTAGCGAAAAACTGATGACATGAGTAAAGCGTGATCGTAATTACTTCTTTGGGAAGATAAAACTTAGAAACGTCCAGAGGACAGTCGTGCTGTAAAAAAAGATCGCAGACTGCGGACATGTTACAGGAACTAATCAGAGGCTGCAGGCATGCTAGAGCAGTTGTTGGGAGACTAGGGACATACTTCAGGAGACTCCGACTACAGACCTGTCACATGACACACATGACATGATCATTACTATTAAAACCCCCTTTACAAATCAATGGCTCCACATTTTTTAT